AGGAGAAAGATTAACTGCCTCTGAAAACCCTCTGGAGGGTCAGCTGTGAGTTGGTTCTGACGTGACGTTACATAACAACAAAGGCCCCACTAAGTATTTCAGGAGCACGACTTTCTTCCGTGGGGAGACTCAGCTGGTGTGGGATTCAGGAGGTCCTGGGAGCACCCTGCTTGGGCACAATATGGAGGAAGGGACCGTGGTGGCCACTTGTGAGTCGGGAAGCAGGCTGGGACCAGAGCTTGGTCTTAGTGAAGTCACTGTGATTACGCAGGGCTGCCCACCTGGGCCCTGGCTCCATCGTTCTCTGCCCAGCTCAGCCCAGCCCCCTGCATGGAGTCGATTCCGCTACAGAGCAGCCCCCCTGAGGGCAGACTAGAAGTGCCCCAGAGGGTTTCTGAGGAGGTAAATTCTTATAGGAGCAGACTGTCACATCTTCCTGCCTTAGACCTGCAGGTAGGTTCAAACCATCAACCTTACAATCATCAGTCCTGTGTTTAACCCACGCTGCGACCAGAGCCCTTTGCCCAGCCCATCATCTCTAACTCTCCGTGTTTCTAACCCTCCGCTTCCACGTGTGGAGCTTGCGATTTTAGCCTAACCCTTCATGCGACTTCACAACCACTCACAGCTGGACCTTGTATTACAGAGCCTTCTGATTCCCTCCCCACGTTCTCCAAACTCACACGCAGCACTCACCCACCTCCGGCCCGCCGGGCGGTGCCGGGTCCTGGCCCCACGTGACCTGGAAAGGCGGCTGACCCAGTGGCCCAGGCTGTGAGCCGGACCTGGAGGGCGAAGTCAAGAAGTCTCCTGTTCTTGGCTTCCCCTACATGTACCTCCCAGGCCTGACTCGGCCCAGATGAAGGCCTAGGGCCCCAGAACTTTCTGGATCTTGGGGGAAAACAAACAAAAAGCACAGGCCCCAGAGGACGTGAGCTTCCTGCTGTGCACAGGTGCACCCCGCTTCCTGCAGAGGGGCCTCCAGAGGCCAGCGAGAGGGTCTGACCCCGCCCCTGTCCTGACCTGGGGCTCCTGTGGGGTCTCAGGGCTGGTCCCTCCTCATGGGTGTTGTTCCCTACGGTCCTGAGGCCCCCATCTCTATAGCTGCTCGATGTGAAAGCTGCACCCCCTCCCCATGCTCTGCACCCCCTGAAAGGCCATATTGACCATCAGGCCAGGAGGCCAGCAACTGAGAAGCAAGTGACTGGAGTCACAGGGCCCCTTGTTAATCCTGTGCTCTTAGCAGCCACTCCTCCTGAGAGCTGCCCAACACACCCCCAACCCCCGGCTCCCAATTTGCCTCATTTTTCCTGCAAAGCTGATCTAAGAGCACTGAATGGTTTACTTGAACCTCCCGGTTCTGTCTCCCGGACTCCTGCCTTTGCTTGCTCTTGTCCACGCAGAGTTTCTGTGGACGAAAGAACCTCCGAGACATGGTGAAGGGGAACTTGGTGGACATGGGCCCTCCGCATGGCAGGCAGTGTGCGAAGAGAACCCCGAAGGCTCCCTATCGAGCATGGAGGTCAGAGAGCTCTGGTGAGACATCCTCCGCTCTGCAGGCTCCAGCCTTCTAAGACGGGGAAGGTCAAGAAGAGAAAGACCCTCTACAAGATGGATTGACCCAGTGACCGCGGCAACAGGCGTGAGACGTGGGGCCCAATCGTGGTGGAGCAGGACAGGGGAGGGTAAGTTTCCTGTCTGTCGTTCACGAGGTGGCTGTGAGGTGTAGTCAACTCGATAGCCCCTAACAACAAGAGGGCCCTACACCACCACCACGCCCCCCCAGCAACAACAGCAACACAGCCGACGTGGGGGTCTGTCTGTCTGTCTGTAAGTGGTCCTCTTCCTTGTTAACCCAATTGTTGGTCAGGAACTAAAGGTTGTACACTTCATAGTTGACTGAAGGACCATCAGGGGAGTTGAAGGTGGGATAGCTAGAAGGAAAATTAGGCCGTAAAAGCCCCATAAGGGGTAAGTGGCATTATGTGATTGGTCAAAGGCATGTGTTATTTATCTATTTATAATATTTATTCTAGTTATTTATGGTAGGGTGGTCCCAGGACAGTGGACAGAGCCAATTATTTTGAACACTTGCTCTTTCTCAATCATGTCTGTTTCTGGAGATTCAGACATGGGTGGGTCTTGAGACCCACCTTGACTGTAATGATGACAGTGTCCACTCTGTTCTTTGGGAACAGATCCCTCTGGGGGTAGATTGGACACCCTGCACTGGCCAGACCTCAGAGGAGAGGAAGGCTGTCCTTGAGTTTACGGTCCAGTCAGCACCGAGGTTAAAGGGTCTGCCATTAATTAATTAATTGTAATTAATGCTTATAAAATGCATATGAATAATGGAATTAAATTGTAATTGCAGTGTTATAAAGCAAGAGGTATAGGAATTATTTAATAAAAAAACAATATGATTTGTAAATTTTTCCCTCAAATGAAAAAAAAAAAAAAGGCAAAATGTAAGCCCTAGATGAGAGACTTGAGGATGAAACATGAGGAGTCTGGGGTCAAAGGCTCTCCTGGGCTTGAATTCTCAGTTCCTGTTCTTCCTCTGACCCTTGGGAAAACAATGTAACCCATCAATCATTGCTTGGACTTCTTAACATACAACAAAGAACTTTCAATTTGTTGAGAAGATGAAATAAAGTCGTTCACACATATAAAAGTGTCCCAAACCGCACCACTGTTGAGTAGCCAGAACTCATAACCACCCTCTCAGCAGAACAGAGTTGCCCGTTGGGTTTATAAGGTGCCCTCATGGAGTAGTCTGTATTGAGCTGTGCGTCTGGCCCAAGGCCTGCATGTCTCCGCTGGTTCAAAGTCACCAGCAGGTCTCCCTGTGGTAAGAGTTACAACCCCAAGAGCCCAGTAAATGGCTGGACTCGATGGCAGTGAGTGAGGTTTCCAATCTGTAAATCTTTACTGTAGCGGACAGCCTATCTTTCTGCAGGGGAGTAGTTGGTGGTTTCGAACCTCTGACCTTCGGTGAGCAGCTGAGTACTTTAACCGCTGCACCGCCGTAGCCCCTGAGTGTGTGCACAGTGGGTCCTTGCTAAGGACCAGCTGCTTCGTTAGTTGCTTTGGAATCTTTTGATCTTGGTTTCCCCTAATGACTCACTGATCTTCCCCCCCCTCAACCATCTGTTGTGACCCCAGGTGTCCCTGCACTGTAGCATCCAGGCAGCCCACTGCGGAACATTCCACCACCACTTTCAGGTACCCTATAGGAACAAGATAGCCTTCTCCTTAGGGTCTCATCGACCCTGGGGAGGCCCTGGTCCCACCCATCACCCCCACAAAGGAGTTCTGACTCACCCTCAGAGTGTCTATGTGAATGCATCCCCAGGGTCTCAGCTGGGTACCTGTTTTGCAGAAGTCGTCAAACTGGTGCATTCTGGTTTGAGATCTCGTGAGAATTTGCATTTCTACTCCACACTAGCTGACCCTTCAGGGGTCTTCAGCGGTGGTAAATTGCACAGGAGGAGATTGCTCAGTTTTCTCCCACAGAGCAGCTGGTGGATTTGAACCGCATGTCTTTGGTTGGCAATGCGACTCTTTACCACTCCCTCAACAACAACAACAACAACCCCAAAAGAAAATAACAATCATTGCCATTGAGTCAATTCCATTTCCTAGTTCCCGCCAGGATGCAGGCGACAACCTCATAGGGTTTCCGAAGCTGCAGATCTTTACAGAAGCCTGCTGCCTTATCTTTCCCCCATGAAGCTTCTGGTGGGCTCGAACTGATGACCTTTTCGTTAGCCACCAAGTATTTCAGTACTTGCACTACCAGGGCTCCCAACTCCACCCCAGAGACACTAGATCAGAGTCTACATTTTAACAAAGTCACAGGATTTTTGTGTATATGGAAGAGTCGTAAGACCTGATATGTCTGATCCAGAAGAATCGATAAGATCCATAAGGATCCGTATAAGACCTAGAAGATCTTATGTCAGATTTCATTTAGGATCTATAAGAATCTATAAGATCTATAAGGTCCAGACCACTCTGAACATAAGGTCTGTAACACTATGCACAAGCTCCGTAAGAACCTGTACATAGGATCCCTCATATCTAAGCATAAAACCCTAAGAACCTGTCTGTACATAAGATCTGTAAGACTCTGCCTATAGGGTCCATAAGAACCTGTACGTAAGATGCAGAAAAATCTATACATATGAGTCATAGAAGAATCAGTACATAAGATCTGGAGAGCTCTGGTGGCCTAGAGGCAATGAAGCCGCACTGCAATCCCAGAGATGAGCAGTTCAAATCCAGCAGATGCTCTGCTGGAGAAGGAGGAAAAATCTCTTCCTGTACCAGTCAGATCTGATTTGACAGTACACACACACACACACAAATAATAAAAAAATATAGAAGATCGTAAGAATCAATACGTGAGATCCATAAAGCTCCACATCTGAGCCAGAGGACTCTGCACGTTAGCCTCTGCATGTAAGATGCATAGATTCTGTTCTGCACATGGATGCACGGAACTTTCCACGCAGGGTCCACAGACAGACTGCATGCGTAAAACCCTTAGGATCTGTACACAAGAGCCGTACACCAAGGATCTACCAGAATCTCCCGGGAAGCTTGGAGGCTGTAGGTTCTGAGTCAGGCTGTCTGGGGGGAAGTGCACGTTCCCAGCTGGCTGCTTGGTCTTCCTCTTTCAGGCCTGGATCCACATCTTGAAGACTTGGTGTGGGACACTCAGATCTCACAGTTAGCAAAGCGTGGTTGCTTCAGGCGAGGCTGGAGGGGAGTTGTCCAGGGAAAGGAGGGAGACCCGGAGGCCCCTCCTCTGCCTCTCCCATCCAAGCAGAGGGGAACCGGTGCCCTGCCTCCTGCCTCCTGCTTTCCAGTCTGTCCCCGCCCCGGGGCCTACACCTTGCTGACTCAGCCCTTGAGAAGTTAATCTTTTTCGGTATTCTCACTCCTATTTCCTGGAGGAAGGAAGGCAGGAGGACCCCCCTACCCCCCAGGTCACCATGGATCCTGTCATCACCAGCTGTGAGCAGTCTAACCCCCTGGTGAGTGCTGGAGGGAGAGGAGGAAAGAAGGGGTGGTGGCCTTGGGGACCGGGAGGGGTGGGGTGACTGTTGCCTCTCCCCTTTCTCAGAACGCAGCCCCCCCAGCTCTGTCTCCTGGGCACCATCTGTAACAGGATCGATGCTTGGTGACAATTGACTTTTGCCCGGATTCCTCAGCGTTTAGAAATCTCTTGTCAGAAGACCTTTCTGAGATGAAGAAAAGAACACGGAAAGACACAGGAAGAGAAAACCAACATGAACTGGTCTGCCAGGGTGCCCATTGTGCCCTGGGCACTTCTCGTCCTTCGTACTCAGTGAAGTGGGCTGTCCCCATTCTTCAGATGAGAAGCCTGAGGCCCAGAGACATGATGGCGTGGTCACCCCCTCCCACAAGGACCTTCTCCAGGGAGCCTGTGAAGCCGGGCTCACCCCCCTCACCAGACTGTTTTGGCCACCTAGAAATAACACCTCACTTAACCAAAAATAGCAAGGTGGATGAATGACACCCCTCTGTCCTTGTCACTGCTGCTGGGGAAAGGCCTCCCGCAGAGGTCCAGCCACAGTGCGTGTGGGACCACACTGTTCCCTGCACTGATGGTGACCTTCCTCCCAGGGACCCTGGGCCTTCTCTCCTGGGAAGATGTGGGAGATGCTTGGCAGAAAAATTTATCTTGCTACCTCCACGTCACAGAAGTCAGAAGAAATTCCTGCAGCAGAAGCTGAAGACTCATTTTTCTGTTAGGATTTACACATTTCTGGTGTCCCTGTGGCGAACTGTGGAGGGGTGCGGTGGGAGGGTGCTACTCAGCAGGCTCCTAGTGACCCTTCCTCTGCTCCCCTCCATTTCCGAATCAAGGAGTGCCTTCAGAGGTGGTTCTCATTTCCATGTGACCTGCTAGAACCTTCTGAGGAAGACAAATCCCAAAGCCTGATGGATGAAAGGGGGCTATTTAAATATTTGCGATACCAGGGACAAAGCCGAGAGTCACATGAGTAAAGTGTGGTTAGAGTGCAGAGAAACCAAGGAGGCGGCTGGGACCTCTGGAGGAGGGGTGGGCGGAAGCACAGGTGAGGAGAAGCAGGTGGGGAGGAGTAAAGGACAGGCCGAGCTGAAGCCCCACTAGGCGTCTGTCACCGAGGGCATGGAAGTGTCAGGAAATGAATCTAGAAGGAATATGTTTGAGAGAAGACCCAGGCCCATCTCCTCCAGGGGCCCACTGTTCCTCTGTCTGCCCCAGTGTCCCAGTCCTGGGGAAGTATTCCTTCCATGGCCTTGGACAAGCCACAGAACCTTCCTGAACTTCAGTCTCCTCATCTGTGAAATGGAACAATAGGAAGAGAATAAATGAGAGATTGCGCTGGAAGTCTGTCTACACGGGAGAACTGTGAAGGCACGCTCTAATGGCCTGGCCACTGTGCCCCCCGTTCTCCACTCGCTCATTCCCTTGCAAAAACTTCTTGCTTTTCCTTAAAATAAAGGCCGTAGAGCAGGGGTATCCCTAGGAAGATGTGGGAGGCACACACCACACTGGGGCTCTGTCTGAGGGGTACCCCCTGATGACGGTAAGTGTTTTGTGCACTAATTCTATAAAAGTTCATTCTTTTCAATAAAAATACTCTTGTAATTAGTTATAATCCTCTCTTCTTTTTATGAAGTATTAGAAAATGGCTTGAGGTATTCCAGTCACCTACTGTTAGTGTGTCTTGGTTCAATAATTTTGAGTGCAAAAGTTGGTATAAATCATCCATTTCCTCCTCTTTGGCTCTGGTTGTTGGTGTTTATGTGTGAATGATAGTGGTATTCCCTGGACTTCCTTGTATGTGTATGAATATTGTTCTGTCACTCACAACATTGTTTTGTTGGGGTTTTTTTGTTTTATTATTTGGTGTGTGTCAAATCAGATCTGACTGGTACAGGAGGAGATTGTCCCTCCTTCCCCAGCAGAGCATCTGGTGGATTTGAACCGTGCACCTCTGGGATTGCAGTGCAGCTTCTTGCCACTAGGCCACCAGAGCTCCCCTACAACATTGTTTTTCAAAGTGGATCTAGAAATGACCCTTTTTTTAAAAAAAATTTTTATTGTATTATTTTTATGTGTACCGTCAAATCAGATCTGATTGGTACAGGAGGAGACTGCCCCCTCCTTCTCCAGCAGAGCATCTGGTGGAAGAAATGACCTTTTTAACTCTGAAAGTGATCTCATTTTTCCTCACCTTTTCATCTCTGGCTCATAGATTATGATTGTCTGATTCAAAGTGACCCTTGCCAATCCATCTAATTTTGCCAATACCTGGCATGTCAATATTAATGTATTTGGTTTATTTCTTAAAAATGTCCAATTTTCCCTCATTCGTGCTTCTCACAGTCCATGTTCCAATCATTAGTATCTGCTTACAACTGCTCCTCCTCCTTTGTGTTTCCAGATTCGAGGGCTCAGTCTCAGGTGCCATATCTGCTAGTCTACTCTAAATGCGCTTGACTGGACAAAGGGTTTGTGAAGGCCTGTTATTTCGGAAGTGGGTCAAGTGTTTGCTGCAGAATGTCAGGGACAGCAGCCATCAATATGGAGTGAAGCTCAACATCAAGAACACAAAGATTCTTACCACTGGGCCAATTGGCAGCACGATGATAGATGGAGATTGAGGTTGTTAACCATTTAAGGTTGCTGGGCTCCACAGTCCACATTCTTGGCACTGGCACACAGGAAACCAAAAGACAAACTGCATTTGGAAAGTGTGCTCCAGAGACCTCTCCAAAGTGCTAAAGAGCAATGATGTCAGTCTAGAGACTAAGGTGTGCCTGATCCAGGCCATGGTCTTCACAATTACTTCCTTTTTTAAAATTTTTAAAAAAAATTTTTTCTAAATTTTTTGTGCATGTACCGTCAAATCAGATCTGACTGGTACAGGAAGAAAGTGTCCCTCCTTCTCCGGCAGAGCATCTGCTGGATTCAAACCACGTACCTTTGGGATTGCAGTACAGCTTTTCACAGTTACTTTCTATGCATCAGAGAGTTGGACAGTGACTAAGGATGATAGAAAGAAGAATCAATGCCTTTGAGTTTTGGTGCTGGCGAAAAGTCTTGAGCATACCATGAACCACCAAGAGAACAAACAGGTCTGTCTTTGAGAGGATGAAATCAAGTTTCTCCTTGGAGGCTAGGATTTTGAAGCCTTATCTCAAATACTTTGGGCATATGCCAGGAGGGACTGATCCTTAGAGAAGGGTGGAGGGACAGCTCAGGAGAGCAAGACCCTGGATGAGATAGATTGATGTAATTGGTGTAAAGTGTGTCGGAGTCAGTGAGACTGGCTTTGGATGAGGCAGGGTTCAGAGCTGTTGTACATAGAGGGGTTATTAGTTGCAGGCAATTCCATAGCATGTAACAACAACATGGCTTGAGGGAGGTACGTGTTAATCTTCACAGTGACACCCTTCCTCTGTAGGGTTGGATCCGAGCAATCCCAAGAAAGCATGAGGCCGCTGGGAGAGAATCCTGCTCTTCTCATACGCTGGGATTGACTCTTCCCTCCCTTCACAGAGTTGCTTCTCTGCTGGGGCCTCTCTACCTGTCTGTCCCCAGCCCTATCCGACGTCACAGAAGTCCTGTGCGTGCATGATACAGGCACGCCTGGGAGACACAGTGAGTTCGATTCCAGGCCAGCCTAGTAGAGCAAGGACAGGACAAAGCGAGGCACGTGCTCTCTTGGCTTCCCGTGCCTGTAGCAGCTTTGTTTACAGTTGTTCGATGCCGAGGCCGTGGACTCAACTTCAACTCCTAACAGGCCTGTGAACATCGCATCTGAACCCTGACGTGTCCTGCGCCGTCCTCCGCGTCTCTGACAGACTCGAGCCTGGTGCTGCAGTCACTGTGCTGGTCCATCTCATTGAGGGTCGACTGGTGAAACTTGGCCTCACATCCTCTGGGCATGTGGTCAGGAGGGACCAGTCTGGGAAAAAAACCCGAAATACTGGCAAAGGTGGAGGGTCAGAGAAAGAGAGGAAGAGACTCAACAAGATGGACTGCCACAGCGGCGGCAGCAGCGATGGGGAGCGGGCTGCAGGATAAGGCACAGCTCAGGGCTGAGTCAAGGTTGATTTGACAACACCTAACAACACCATGATCTGCTCAGCGTGCAACGTCATTGTTATGTACAATCAGGTCAGAATCAGCTCTGCCCCCACCCCCGCCCCAGGTGAGTTTTCAGAGGCTGTGAATCACATGGCAGGAGATTGCTCATCTTTCTTCCATGAAGCAGCTGGTGGATTCAAACTCTATTCCTTTAGATTGGCAGCACAGCTCCTTACCGCTAGGTCACTGGCACTCCCTCACACAGCACAGGGTTGTTGCTAATCTTCAATTTATACAAATCACAATATCCGAGAAGAGCACTAGAACCAGGTCTTCCCACACAGAAAGCTACGAGGTTTGAGTCTGGACTGGGAGTTCCCAGGAGGCCTGTATATCCACTGCCCTCAAGCTCATTCTGACTCCAGGGACCCTGTGTGTCACTGCACAGAACTGCTCCATGGGACTCCCGGACTACAATCTTGATAGGAGCAGAGCCTATCTTCTGTATCTTCTGTGTGAGTTTGAACCACCCGCCTTTAGAGTTGCTGAGGGCAGACCGTTTGTACCACCCAAGGACCTTAGCAGGCCACCTGTCCCTACCATCATCATCGTCTCTGTCTCTGGAAGGCCACCTGTCCTGCTAAAATCAGTATATGCACTCTGTCCCCCTTGAAATGCCCAAATGTGTCCTTCTCTTGCTCCCAGCAGAGTGGTGGTGATGGTCTCAGCTCCCACGTGGACGGTCAAGGCAGGAAGAAGGGCGGGCAAGCCAGGAACTCCAGCGGCAGCCGCCTGGCCTACAGCGTCCTGGACATCCCACCCTGGTACCTCTGCATCTTCTTGGGGATCCAGGTAATGTGTTCAAGGAAGCATTGAGTTTGCCTCCCAAACTGCTTCCACGCGTGATCAGTTTCAATCACTCGTACAGCTGTCACTCATGGGAGTGGGAGGCATGAGGGACAGAGTAGAACTATGATCCAAGGGGTTCTCCCTGGCTGGAGTCTTTCAGAAGTAGACACCTCACTTACTGCCCTCAGGTCATCACACACCCTCCAGCAGGGTTTTTGAGGCTTTAAAGCCAGTGGGGGTAGATTGTCCTTCCTTCTCCAACTGCTGGTGGATTTGAAACTCCAGAAAGGCTTGGCCTTTAGGTCCGTAGAACAACTCCCTCCAAATAGGAAGCTAAGCCTTTCTTCTAAAACTTCTCTCAAACTTTCAACCTTTTGATTTGCAGCCAAGAAGATGGGCTGTTTGCTCTGTCAGGAACTCCCAGATCAATTGTTTTGTGCCATCGAGTCAACTATGTTTCATAGTGGCTCTATCCTGCCAACACCAGATTGAAACCTTGCCCTATCCAGTCAAATTATTTTCTATGTGCCTTCAAGTTTGAATTGGCTCATAATTGATCCTCCAGCAGGTTTTCAGAGAATGCAGATTACACAAGAGGAAATTGACCATCTCTCCCAACAAGCAGCTGATGGATTTGAACTGCCATCCTTTGAGTTGGCGGCATACCTCCTTACCATGTGGCCACCAGAGCTCCCAGGTCAAATTGTTGTTGTTATCATGTACTGTTGAGTCACTTGTGACTCATAGAGACCCTGTGTGCAACAGCTCTGAACCCTGCCCTATCTTGAGCCGACCTCCATGTCTCTGATACACCTACCCCCCATTACCTCAGTCACTCACTGAGTCAATCCACCTCATCCAGGGTCTTCTCTTGCACTGTCCCCTCCATCCTTCCAAGAATGATATCCTTCTCCAAGGACTGGTCCCTCCTTGCAACATGCCCAAATTATGTCAGACAGAACTTCAGAATCCTTGCCTCCAAGAGCAGCCCGGTTTCACCCTCTCTAGGATGAACCTGTTTGTTCTCTTAGCAGTCCATGGTATGTTCACTACTCTTTTTCAGCACCACCACCCAAAGGCATCAATTCTAATTCTATCATCCTTAGTCATTGTCCAGCTTGCTGATGCATAGCAATTAATTGCAAAGACGATGACCTGGATCAGGCACACTTTAGTCTCTAGACCGACATCATTGCTCTTCAGTACGGTAGAGAGGCTCCTGAAACAGACTTTCCCAAAGTCAACAATGAAAACTTTAGTTGATGCTGTTGTGGGTTTCCGGCAAAAATGCAAGGTTCCTCTGACCCCTCTCCGATTTAGGATAGGGATGAGGGTGGAGGCAGGAGTTCTCTCTCATCCTGAGCTAATTAATAGATGAAGGACACCATTTCCTTTTGGGTGAGTCACTGAGCTGGTAAATCTCTGTCCACTTGGGTGAGGTTTCTAGCAAGCCCTGGAGAGGGGCTGGGCCACAGCCTTCTCAGAGCGCCTTCTTCTGCGCCAGCCTCTTGTTCTAAGTGTGTTTACGCTCACATGCCTAGCATTCTTTGGGATCAAGAGATTTATTTGCTCATGGGAGAGGGTTCGCCCTGTCTCACAAACGTAGTTAGACAGTGTTACTGGGCCTGATCTGAGGTGGAAAAGAAAACCCTGTGGATTCGTGGAGAACACTAAGTGAGGAGTAGCTTGAAGGGTCTCTGGGCTTCTCATAACATTTCTCGTAAGAGGAACAGGAGTGATGACAGGACCGTCCAAATACGCAGAGACACGGGCATTTCATCTCTGAGAAGCTGCCTGGGTCTTCCTCCCCATGGCGCAGTCACCCCCGCTGGCTACTCTTTCTTTGTGGAAATGTGGGGGCCAACCAAAGAAAACCCCCAAAATCAGACAACTTAATGATTTTCGGTGAGAGTTCAAAGTCTTCTCGCTGCAGCTCCCTATGTCTTCTTATTCCCACTTCTCTCCACCTCTAGAAAACAATGCTGATGGTACTAGTCAGGCTGTTCCAGAACATTCCCTAGGCAGATCACCCACGACTGGTTAAAATGATCCTACCTGGTGGCAGAGAGGGGAAAGGCTGTCAGTCAGTGCAAGATCCGCTGCTGCTGAGGAAAGGAGCGTCACCAGCAAGAACCTGGAGGGCTGTGTGGGGTTTGCAAATGTCCCAGATCGGGCACACGGAAAGTCAGTGAAGAGAGTGTTCGGATGCGCACTTACAGTGCTGGGTGAATCTGCACTGGAAAAGTCAGCGTTCATCAGCTCATTACTCATCACAGATTTATATTCTCCAGAGTGCCCTGGTCCTTCCTACAGGATAAAAAAGGCTGTGCGAGTGGAACACTCCAAAGTTTTAATCAAAGAAGGTGGAGTTCAGTTACTGCTCACAACAGCTGATACCCCAGGATGTGGCGATGCCATGGATAAGAGTGAGTGTTGGCGAGCTCTGGTGGTCTAGTGAGTGACAAGAAGCTACACTGCAATCCCAGAGATGAGCAGTTCAAATCCACCAGATGCTGTGCTGGAGAAGGAGGGACAATCTCCTCCTGTACCAGTCAGATCCTATTTGATAGTACACACACATCATCATCATCATCACAAAGTGATTGCTAGCAGCCTGTAATAACAGACTACATTGATGGTAAACTTGAAGACTACATGCAGGATCTTGAGTGAACAGATGCCAGGTGCCTGACAACAGAATGCAGAGTAGTTTATACTTCATTGCTCCTTCAGGACGTGGCCGTAAACTGCTGTACACTGAATTTATGAAGTACTTACACAAAATTGTGATTATCATTCCACTTTCTGCCAAGGCAGAAACACACACCGGAGGAATGCCAACAGTTTAAAAAACAGATAATGTAAGAAATCCAAGAACATGAAATGAAAATATATGCATTTCCAGAAACAGATGATAAAGAAGAAAATAAGCTTGTTAACAAGAGATAAAGGGTCATTTCCCCCTTGCTGTGGTAGGTGGAAATACTATCATTGAAGTGAATGACAAAAGGGTCCGAGCAAGGCAGCATCCTTGGGCGGCTGCTGAAGTTGAAAATGGTGAATGCTGTGATTTTACAATCCTAAGAAATACGTTGATAAGAACACACATGCAGGACTTGAAAGATGTCACTAATAGTGTACACTACGAGAACTACAGAAACAGAAGACTGGGAGCTGAGACTTAGAATGGAGCTGATAACAAGAACAAAGGGCCCAGAACCATGAGCCCTCGGGCACAAATGGAAGACGCAAGAAGGGCGCAGGTAGCAGAGATGAGGAAGGAGAAGGAGCTGAAGCAGGAGCAGATGTGGGAGATGAAGGTCCAAGAAAAAGTGCAGAAACTGAAGGACTCTGAAGCTGAGCTCCAAAGACGTCAGGAGCAAATGAGAAAGAATTTGAAAGCACAGCACAGAGAGCTGGAGGAGAAACGTTGTCCGTCTGAGGATGAGAAAGTCCACTGGAACAACGTGGGTTAGAACAGCAGAACTCTTCAAGAACCTTGGGAAAGAGTAAGAAGGAAGTGAAGGCCTTTGAAACTCGCTACTGACCACCCATTAGTTCCCAATATGCCAGCTTGGACATCAGTGATTATTGGGTCCGTTAGACCAATTCGCACCAGTGTTATCCAAAATTATGGATTTAACAGCATAATAGCATTTTTGTCATTGTTGGTCTTGATGGAGATTAAGATGTCTTGAATTGTCTAAGGTTATTGTGTGAAAGTAACAATTTTAAGTACAAGAGTACATTTTACAGTTGTACAGTCATGTTCCAGTGGTTTGATTATTTACAGGATATTCCAAAATAGAAAGACTATTGAAGATAAATTGCCATAGTATTATACAAACTTTGCTTCTCTTTAATTAGAATACAAAGTTCCATTTAGTGCCGCAAATACAATAGTGTAATTTAGTCTAATACAGTTGACCCTGTTTTTGACACTTCCATTATTTAAAAAAGCACATGGAGAAAAGCCCCTATATGCTTACAATACACCTAGAGCTTTTTAAAAACAACCAGTTTTTGTTTATTTGTTTTGAATTCTTTATTATTCTCATTTAGAACCTCCTTTAGCCAGAATCTCATTACTACTCCACTTTTGTGATAATGTTTAATTTAGATATGTTCCATATATTGGCCCTGCTAAAATAGAATATAGTGTCTTTCATATGGTGGAAACCAACAAGGAAATGCTCCTTTAAATCCCTTTTTACCCTCTCTGGTAAATAATGGGGGCTGGGATGGGGGATGCAATTATAGACAATTTCTAGGCAAAATTGTGAAGCTAATGACCAGCCTGTTTCTACATATGTTCAGTTTCTTTATTTTATAAATAAGAATTATGGACTCCTATGGGGGGTGGGGGGAAGTCACCATTCTGCAGTAAACTGTATTCATATATTGCATTTCTGAATTTTTTATTTGTATTGTAAAAATTCACATAATAAACAGTGTGATGTAAAAAAAAAAAACAAAAACAATGCTCCTATCTATGGTAAGGAGATGTGTTGCCAACTTGAAGGAATGGGTTTAAATCTACCAGCTGCTTGCAGAAGGAAAGGTGGAAAATCTCTTCCCAAACAATTTATGGCCTCTGAAAAGCCACTGAAGGGTCAGCTATGAGTCAGTTCTGTCTCGATGGCACACTACAACATCTATCTATCCATGGATCCTCCTAATCTATCTATCTATGCATTATCTATCTATCTATCTATCTATCTATCTATCTATCTATCTATCTATCTATCTATCTATCTATCTATCTATCTATCTCTGTCCTGTCTCTCTCTTCATAACAAGTTACCTGCTGTAGATTTAGCCCTGTCCAGAACTCTGGGTTTAACCTTGTCCCCTGGGGGAACTCAGTCAGCCATTGGCCAAAGGCTCAAAGCCAACACTCAGGTCTTCCTTATTAAGTGGCCTACCTCTCACCTTGAGCCTTGTCAAATCAAAATCCACCAATGGAAGCAGATTGGTTTTGAGGTTTTGCCTCAGTGTCCTGAGTCATGTCCAGCGTCCCAGGTCAGCGGGGCCCCTGCTTCCTGCTGCTGTCTCTCCTTGCACTGTCCACCTGGCCCGCCCTGGGCAAGGAGGACCACTCTGTAAAGGGAGGAGGCATGCCTGCAGGGCAACAGGTGGGACAGGGTCTCCACGCGCCCTCCTCCCTCTGCTCTGCCCACAGCACTTCCTCACGGCCTTGGGCGGACTCGTGGCTGTGCCCCTCATCCTGGCCAAGGACCTGTGCCTGCAGCATGACCCCCTGACCCAGAGCTACCTCATCAGCACCATTTTCTTCGTCTCTGGCATCTGCACTCTCCTGCAAGTGTTCTTAGGAGTCAGGTAGGTGAAGTGACTCCCTGAAAAACGCTGCTTTTCTCACCTGGGTTGTTGTGGTTGGTAGATGTCATCAAGTCAGCTCCGCAAACCACACAGCACCCTGTGTACTGTGGGACAAAGTGTTGGTTGGTGGTGCGTCACGCCCTCGGCCAGTTTTGGACCAGACCATGACCGTGGGGCATTAACCAGCTGATGTTCAGAAGTAGGTTCCCAGGCCTTCCTCCTAGTCCTGCTTCACCTGGAAGTGCTGCTGAAGCCTATCCAACATCACAGCAACACGCACACCTCAGTGGACAAACGATGGTGCCTCTGTGTGAGGTGTGCTGGCTGGGATCAATCCAGGCGGCTACAATCATTGAACTCCCACTGTCCTACCTGCCAAGGTCCAGTGAGGTGCCCTTGGCTCATTGCTGGAAAGAGAGGGTAGGACGTAACTGTGGCATAATAGAGGGAGAACAGACTGAGAGCCAGAGCCTGGGTTCAAGTCCTGGCTCCAACACTTAGTACCTACATTAGCTAACTCTTGACTGAGAATGGTTCACTTCAGCAAAAATGAATTCTTTATTGACTTTTGGCATCAACCCCAGAGAAGGACAGGGTGTAGACTTCTGTCAAGAATAGGACGACCAGGAATTAAATATGGCCAGGACTCTCCTTCTCTCTCTCTCATCTGTACTTAGACGTGTGGCAAGAGTACAAGGTGGAGACCCACACACTGTTATGTCTAAGGGTTGGATAGTTACAAACCAAATGTTATGGTCTGAATTCTCTAGAGTAAGAAAGCCAGTGATGTGTGTCTAAATATGCACATGGAAAAATGTGCTACAAATCCATGGGTCAGGTGACAGAGTGGAGACCTCTCTGCTGATCTATCTATCTATCTATCTCCTCACATAATTCATTTTGTCTTAGGTCATTACTGTTCAATGCATCAGATCTAGAGATGGTCTTTAAATTCAGATGGGATATACTCAAGGTCGTATTGTGACTCTGGTGGACTTCTTTGCATTTTCTCATGAACCACACTGGCCCCACTGACGTATTTTTATAAGCATGTTGTTCTTGTTGTTATGTGCCGTCGAGTCGTTTGCGACTCATAGCGACCCTATGTACAACAGCCCTAAACCGTGCTCTACCCTGTGCCAATCTCATTGCCTCTGACACACCCATCCCAAGTGCCCCAGTCACTGAATCAATCCACCTCATAGAGGGTCTTCCCCTCCTGCACTGTCCCTCTACTCTACCCAGCGTGATGTCCCTCTCTAAAGACCTGTCTCTCCTTACAACATGTCCAAAGTATGTCAGGCGAAGCCCCAGAATCCTTGCCTCCAAGGAGCAGCCTGGTTTAATCCTCTCTACAATGAATCTATTTGTTTTCTTGACAGTCCATGGTACATTCAATACTCTTCTCCAGCACCACAGCTCAAAGGCATCTTCTATCCTCCCTAGTCATAGTCCAACTCTCTGATGCATAACAAGTGATTGCAAAACCCATGGCCTGTATCAGGCGGACCTTAGTCTCCAGAGAGACACCGTTGCTCTTGAGTACTTTAGAAAGGTCCCTAACCACAGACTTTCCCATCGCAGTATGTTTTTTGATTTCCTGGCTACTGGTGCCAAGAGTGTTGACCGTGGAGCCGAGCAAACTGAAGCTGTGAACAATCTCAATCTCTTCGCCATCCATCCTGATGCTACCAATTGGTCTAGTGGTGAGAATTTTTGTCTTCTTGACATTGAGCCTCAGTCCATATTGAAGGCTGCAGTCCTTGACCCTCTACAGTAAGTGCATGAGGTCCTCCTCAGTTTCAGCAAGCAGGGTTGTGTCATCTGCATAACGCAGATTGTTGACAGATCATCCACCAATCCTAACGCCACGCTTCTCCTCATAGAGCCCAGCCTCTCGGAGAATCTGCCCTGCTCTGTTCTGATGACTGCCTCTTGGTCCAAGTATAGGTTTCGCATTAGCACGATTAAATGTTCTGGGATTCCCATTCTTCTCAGAGTCAGCCACAGTTTGTTATGATCCACACAGTCAAATGCCTTTGCATAATCAATGAAACACAGATAGACATTCTTCTGGTATTCTCTGCTTTCAGCTAAGATCCGTCTAACATCAGCTACAATATCCCTAGTACCACGACCCCTTCTAAACCCAGCCTGGATTTCTGGCAGTTCTCTGCTGATGTACTGTTCCAGTCGTTTTTGGATAATCTTCAGTAGAATCTTGCTTGCATGTGAAATCAATGACACTGTTCTGTAGTTTCCACACTCAGTTGGGTCGCCCTTTTTTGGGATGGGACCTCTTCCAGTCAGTTGGCCAAGTGGTTGTTCTCCAGATTTCTTGGCACAACTTGGTGAGCACATCCACGGCAGTATCTGTTAGCTGAAATAGGAAACAAAAATGTTTTATGAAAAAAAGTATAAATACTAATAAAAATCATATTTATGATTTCTGAAGTTGGTCATGTGGGTTTAGCTGTTTTAGAACTACCTTCTCCCACCACCTATTCTGCATTTCCTTTGCTTTCAGTGAGCACCTCAATAAATTATGGTTCTTTTAAGCCTTCGTTCTTGAAAGGTTGGATCATTTATAGTCATGTTGGAAATGGTTGATGTAGTTTTCTTTCTTTTTTTTTTACATCTTAAATCCATATTTATGAGAATATACTCAGAACAATGCTCAATTTACACAAATTAAAACTATAGAAGCTTCATTAACACTAGAAACCCAGTTTGCTGGTTTAGAGGAAGGAGTCTAAACGATCCTGATGTAGTTTTCTATTGACTTTAATCACAGGGCATGGTAACAACCACTAAGAGATATCCTATTAAATCTATAGGTCAGACAAAATCCCCTTTGCCTTCTCCATTATAAAATATAAGTGATTCCATATTTATATCTGATTGATTCCATCAGAATCAATCACACTTCCATAATGGAAGTGGTACAATCTGTCATCAGGTTGTTGGTTGATAGCCCAGAGCAATGGTTTTATACCAAGCACTTAGTGTTGCTCTCTGTAGCCAAATCAGCCTTGGTGAGTGGAAGTGGGTAATCAAAGTGCTTGTTTGCATCCAGGCCTGAGGCAAACTCTGTGATAAACACAAATTATTCAAGGGTAAGGGCCAGGGAGCTCATGTGAATGAAAAATGCTGACCATGCCCACAGGAAGGAAGATACAATTAGGAAAATCATGCTGATGTCCTTAGACTAAGGTGGGGCAGAAAGAAACTTGAATCTTGTCCCACCCGTGGAAACAGGCCCCAGAAACTATAAAACCCAACTGATAACTTATGAATCAAAGGCCAAGTAGAAGTGCTCACTGGTTATCCACCACCCAGCCCATTGCTATAGTTATCCATAACCAGTATTTAATGATGTACTTTTCTAGATTAGAAACCCAAATGCCTGATGTTGCAATACTGATTTCAGAAAGTCTCAGTAATTAAAAGCACGTTAAATGATCAAAGGGGAGTGATAAGAAGTAATTGCAGCCGCTTTGGGTCTAATTGCCAACAAGCACTGTGCAGGCAGCCGTGAGCTTAGGTAGCATGGGTGGTTGCCAATTGGGTATGACCTTGTCAGGTGCCTTTGAGTCTGGTCAGCCGTCAGGGAGCCTCCATGGAGCAAACTGCCTGATCCTATGGCATCCTCACTGCTGTGTCCGAGCCCTTCACTTGGACAGCTCATCTTACGGACCGTCTTCCTGATTTTTCACTGACCCTACACTTTAACAAGCATGATGTCCTTCTCCAGGCACTGGTCCTTCCTGACAACTTCCAACTGACAACTTCTTTGCACCCTTTGCCCCTTCCTAGGAGCTTCTGGCTGTGCTCGTTCTGAGATAGACTGATTGTCCTTCCGCAGTCCACTGTGCACTCAGTGTTCCTCACCAATGCTTAAACGTAAACGCATCAATTCTCTATCTTCCTCCCTTATGGTGCAGTTTCCACATACATATGTCAAGATTGAAAATACCATGGCTTGGAACAGACTTACTTCAGCCTTCAAAGGAACATCTTTGCTTTTGAACATGTTTAAGAGATCTCTTGTAGCAAATTTACCTTGTGCAATGGATTTTTTAATTTTTTGGCCACTGTTTCTAGGAGTGTTCATTGTGGATCCACTCCACAAAGGAAATCCTGACAATTTGACCTTTTCTCTGTTTATGATGGTGTTGTTCATTGGTCTGTTTTTGAGGACTTTTGTTTACTTGACGTTGGGGTGTAATCCACACTGAAGGCTGGACTCTGTGATCTTCATCAGTAAGTGCTCCAAATTCTCTTCACTTTCACGTAGCAGGTTAATGGGTATTCCTTCAAGCCTAATAACTCAAGGTATGATCTTAAGCAAAAATACATTTTCCACCTTGATGTTATTTTCTGAAATCTGTGTAAGGGGACCTACTAACTCTCTGTGGAATTAATCACCCACCTGTCAGTTCATGGTGCTGTGGTGGCTTACACGTTGCTGTGATGCTGCTGGAAGCTATGATGCAGGTATTTGCACACCAGCCGGATCACCTATGGACAGGTGTGTCACCAGAGCTTTCAGACTAATGCAAACTAGGAAGAAAGGCCTGACAACAATGCTTGTGACAACTAGCCAATGAAAACTTAATGGAATGCACACACACACACACACACACACACACACACACCCCACAGTGTGAATGAAGACTAGTGTGAAACATAATGTATGTGAACTTTGTAAGCAAACCAATATAAAATAAAATTTAAAAAATAATAGAGCCAACAGGCTATTATCCAGATAACTTGCCTTGGCTGCATCATTATGAAGTAGTGCTAGATTATCCAAGCAAGATCAAGAAAATGAAAATTCTCACCTCTAGACCAACTGGCAGCCTCATGATAGATGGAGAAAAAAATGGAGATTGTTAACAGCCTCAGCAACAGGAAATCAAGAGACGAATAATCACATTAGGAAAATCTGCTGTCAGGGACCTCTCCAGAATGCGAAAGAGCAAGAATATCAGGCTAGA